GCAGACCCAGCTATCCTGGCTGCTCTCGGGAAAACAAGCGTCCAGCCATGCAGCACCGGAGCTGCACCCACAGACCCCAGGACACAGCCTGCGGGGACCCAAGAGTGACCGCCTCCCGGGGCCAGGCGCCTGTGCTCTCTGCCACGCCCCCATCACCCGCTATCGCTCCCTGGCCACGCCCCCCCACTCACTATCGCTCCCCGGCATTTGGCCGCCCCAGCCATTTCCCTTCCCAGCCCGAAGCCCACAGGCTTGTCCCGGGGCCCTTTGTGTCCACTTCTTCCTGGCTCCGCCCTCAACCCACAGAGGGGACAGGCTGCTCCTGCAGGTGTGGGCCACAGGGCCTCGCGAGGGGCTGCCCTCGGCCCTCGGCGACGGCCCCCCTAGGCCTGAGGGTGACAAGGTGCCAAGCTTTGTGCCAGCTCCAGGCTCGGATCTGCAGCTGCCCGCGTGACCCTTCTGCCGGGTGGCTCACAAGCCCCTCCTGCTCTCTCCGCGGCTCACTAGCTCCGCGCGTTCGCCCAAGGTGCTCTTTCTCCTGTACGTCTTCTCCCTCCACCTGCCGGTGAGCCAGCCGCGCAGCTGCCTCCCGGCCTCCCACTGCTGCCTTCTGCCTCCAACAGCAGCCTCGGGTCATTCACCAGCCTTGCCACAGCCTAACTTCCCTCCTTCCTCCCTAACGCCTCTAATCCAGTCCCCAGGGAGAAGCCGGTGTGCTCTCAGAACTGTTTCCCTACTCAAAGTCCATCCCTCCCCTCTCCGCACTGGAATAAAATCCTGGCTCCTCACGTGGCTCCTGAGCCCTGCTCTGCCTGAGCCTGCCAAGCTGAACTTGAACGACACTGGCCACCCCGCAGTAACTCAGACACACATCAAGTTCTTCCCACCACAGGGCCTTTGCACATGCTGTGCCCAGTACACAGGATGCTCCCACCACCTCGCACCTGCTCCAAGGCCCAGCTAATGAGCCGCCCCCTCAGTATAAGGTAGAACTTCCAAGTACCACCTCTCAGAATGGTTTGTCATGTAGGATCTGTAACCCCCAAATTGTAAATCCAATGGATAAGCTCCTTAATCAGCCATCACGTCTCCCGACTCCAGCTGTGAGCCCACACATGTATTCCAGGCCGCCCTCATCTGGCCTCCATGGCCAGCACGGGCTCACTAGCCACCCTGCCCTCCCTTCCACTGGAGGCAGCTGCTGAACTCCATCAGGGTGGGGGTCTGTCACCCCTAGCAGGGGCCCTGTGCCCGTGCCCCGTGGGACCTCCACAAGCAGTCCCTACAGGAATGAGTCATGAGACCGAGAGCATTTAAGGTTTGCAGCAAACTTTCTTCTAAGATCAAGTGACAATCAAAAAAAAAAAAATGTAGAGAGAGAGAAAACAGCTGAGCATGCATGTTTTCAGATCTTTAATTTTATATCAAAGGAGAGCGAATGAAATGATCTTGTATTCATTTCCTTTTTATATAAAGAGCAACTCGAAACCACTGAGCACGAAAAAAAAAAAAAACCCGAAGCTCTACAGTTCGGCGAAGAAAAAAGAGAAGGGCGGGGCCCCAGCCTGGGGAGGGGAGAAGCAGCTGCGGTGGGGCCCAAAATAGCAGCAGCTGTGGAGACGGCAGGGCTGGGGCGAGGCTCGGCGGCGTAGCGAGGCCGGCCGGCCGCTGAGGCTGCTGCCCCCCGGCCCGGCCGACAGCAGCAGTCACCTCCACATCGCCACTCTGTTTCTCAAAGCACTTCCTTTTTTTAAAAAACTGGCTTTCCTGGGGCTGGCGCTGTGGCGTAGTGGGTAAGGCCACCACCTGCAACACCGGCATCCCATATGGGCGCCGGTTCAAGTCCCAGCTGCTCCACTTCCGATCCAGCTCTCTGCTATGGCCTGGAAAAGCGGATGGCCCAAGTGCTTGGGCCCCTGCACCTACATGGGAGACCTGGGCCCCTGTACCCACGTGGGAGACCTGGATGAAGCTCCTGGCTCCTGGCTCTGGCTTGGCCTGGCACTGGCCACTGTGGCCAACTGGGGAGTGAGCCAGCAGACGGGAGATCTCTCCCCCTCCCTCTAACTCTTTCAGGGTAACTTGGCTTTCCTGGCCGAGAACCCGGGAAGACAACGCCACCTATCCCAGGGGCTCTGAGACACCCCGCCTGGCCTCTCCCCACCCCGGAGCAGCTGGAATGGGGTTTTGTCACAGGCTCAATCAGACACGCTTCTTTCCCGTGTCTCACGTCTCCAGAATAGAAGCCCAACTGTCCCACGGCCACTCAGGTCCTACATCCTCTGGCCCCTCCCCACGTCTCTCCCCTTCCTGTCTCCCCTCAGTTCTTCATGTTCCTCTGCCCCTGGGCATTTGCACATGCCGGCCCCTCTCATCCACCCTCAGCCCCAGGCTCTTCCTCGGAGAAATCTTAGCTGATGTTCCTCCCCCAACTCCTCTGTTTCGCGAGTACCAGACACTTCTTCACATCACTTGCCACAGCTGTCGCTCTCCTGTCTGCAGGGCTGTTTAGTAAACCATGTGCTCTATGCACAAGAGGCTGTAACTTCATTCTTTTTCCTACTTGCTTCTCGGCATTGCAGGCACTGCACGGCACAGACGCAGCAGGTGCTCCACAAACAGCTGCAGAGCGGGTGCACCTGCTGATCCTCAAGTCCAGTTCTCTGAGGCTTCACACCATATCTGGGGGGCTCCTCAAGCAGCCCCTTTCTCTAACCTGCTTTGAAAAACTTTCTCTCTCTTCCTGTAAAAATTCTGATTCCAACATGCAGTCTCACAGCACCCTCCAAGCCAGGACTGACCACGCTTGGTGACCCTGCCACAAGAAGCCAAGTACGGGCATGACAAGTAACTGGTAACAGACCACCCTCCCACCCCAATAACTCTAAGAACAGAAGCACGCAAGGCAACTGGTTTCTGACATTGGACAGCAGGCAACGTTAAGACCAGTCCCTGAGGGAAAGAAAGCACAAGAGGTGAGCCCAGGGTCACAGCAGCTCACTGCCTCGGGACAGCTTCCCTTCCACACGCAGGGAGTGGGGCATCAGCACAGCGTGGTGGTCCTGCTGAGCACAGGAGGTAGAGTTTAGCACACCAGGCCGCGGAAGCAGCTGGAATCGGTAGGGCCAGGCAGGCATCAGAGAGGAGAAAGGCGCTCAGGGAGCCTCCAGTCCGGGGCCAAGGTGGGGAGGGGGCTGTGTGAGCACAGAGGAAGGCTAACGCATGGCAGAGACTGGAACAGAGCAGGGCTGGCACAGAGGGGGAAAGTACCTACAGTGCCAAAGTACTAAAACACGCATGTGAGAGCAACAGGCACCTGTCTTAGAGTAAGGGCTACCCCAAATCTGCCTGGGTAGGGCCTAGAACCAATCCCCAACCCGAGACATGGCTAAGAGCGCTCAAAGGCTGAGCCCCAGCAAGGTGTAGATGTGCATGGCTTTCCAGGGATCTACACATAGAATCAATATGAGCTCACAGTGCCCAGCCCATAACTGACCCGCCTGTAGAAGAAGGTAACACAACGCAGTGTCTCTACACCATCTCCACAATGTCAGAATACAGCCGACAATCACAAGACAGCCAAGAAAGGAGAAAGTGACCCATGGTCAAGAAAAAAATATATACCAATGAAGAGCCGCAGAGTCCAACGTGGCTGCAGGGCGGGATTTAGAAAGAGCCACATCTCAGGTTTCTCAAAGCCCCAATGTTATCACAGATGTCCTCCACTGGGGAGACAGCAAAACAACTGTGGCGGTTTGTGGGCTCGGGGATTTTTGTTTTGTTGCTTGGTTTAGGGTCTATTCAGGTTATGTGGTTTCTAATTAAGTTGTCTGGGAAATGTTCAAGAATTTGCATCATTAAGAATCACTGAAGGCAGTTCTGAGGCACACTGGGGACTAAGAACCTGTTCGTCTCATAGAATACTTTCACTTAAAGGCAAAAAGCTGCATTAACTTCATGACATTGAAGGTTCAGGTTGGCTGGTTCAGATTACTACACAATTAAGAAAACTACTTCAGGGAGCGAGTGCTGTGGCCTTGCAAGTAAAACTGCTGCCTGCAGTGTCAGCATCCCAAATGGTTGCTGGTTTGGGTCCCAGCTGTTCTACTTCTGATCCATCTCTCTGCTATGGCCTAGGAAAGCAGTGGAAGATGGCCAAAGTCCTGAGCCCCTACACCTGCATGGGAGACCCAGAAGAAGCTCCTGATTTCAGATCGGCCCAGCTCCAGCCATTGCACCCATTTGGAGAGTGAATCAGCAGATAGAGGACCTCTCTCTTTCCCCTCTCTTTCTGTGTCATTGACTTTCAAATAAATAAGTAAATCTTAAAAAAAAAAAAAAAAAGCTACTTCAACTCTAATCTGGAGGGGAAAAAAGTACACCTCTCTACTTATTAAAAAAAAAAAAAAAAACTGAGGTTAAACCAAAAGCCATAGATATAAAAGATATTAAGAAAAAACAGGAGGAAACACTCAGGGTATAAAGTAAACATCTTTTAAAAAAGCTGAGTGCAAACTACAAGTATTCAGATGTGTAGTGGTGGAGGCTGCCCTGTGGGTGAGTAGGAAAAAGACAACGGCGTGCTTATAACAGTTATTTCAGGTGGCCACGTGCAGTTTTAACTTATTTTTCTGTTTTACAAGAGCCTCCTGTTTTCCCTCAATGATCTCTTGCCTGAAACTGAAATTATGGCTTCGGAAACCCGTGAACACAGAAAGCTCTGCACAACCCCGGGGCTCCTCCATGGCCAGACAGGGGAAGGAGACCCTGCCCAGCAGTCCCACGTCTGCCTTTGTCCAGCCAGGAAGGCTTTCTCCTCTGGTCTCTGAGCAGCTGCACGCATTTCTGGTACAATTCAAGCTCAAGGGGCCCCTCCCTCAGAGCAGGGAGAAGCCGAGACACTCACCACAGCCCGGCATGTGACAGCTTGGCCAGCTTGGCAGAAGTAGTCACCTAACCACAGACACAGCACACAAAAGGAGAAGAGCTCAAGTCCTTACCTGAACCACGGGGTGGCCTCCAGTTGGAGCTTTGACGGCCCCTCGGCTGCCCTCCGTCTCATAGTGGGCCCGGTGGTGTGGCTTGGGCTGCACCTCAATCCGTAGCTCATAGGAGCCAGACTGGCTGGAGAGTGGCCACTCCAGAGGAGGGAGAGACGCAGTCACTGGGATGCTGAAGGAGGAAATGCAGTCAGTGATGTGTACGACAAACCAGAACCCATCAGCCTGTACAATAAATGTAAACGGCCCCTTTTCTGAAATCGCATCCAGTGGACGTAAGAACGAGATGATGGGCGTTCAGGAGTCACACATTCTCAGAGATCTTTGCTCTCTCTTCCATCTGGCTAATGTGACCCACATCTCAATCAATGATGCCTCTTTCAATCTGTGTTAATTATGTCATGCTTCCAACACCATCACCTCCCAGCTCTCAAAAATAAGGATGTTTCCTCTTCCACAGGAGTAAGTATGGGAGAAGCAACGTGGGGCTGAGCTGGAAAGCAAGGGGCCCACAGGTGTCACAAACCTGCCATGCAGCTTCAAGGAAGAACTTTATTCTCTCCTCCACAGTCCCCCATCACCACCTGGCAAGTGGACCAGACCGCATCTGCGGGCCAGTACAGCTCTTGGCTCTACATCTAAAACCTCATTAAAAGTCTATGTGAGACAGCAGGTAAGATGCTCTTGGGACACCTACCTCTGTATTAGAGCAGTGAGATCGAGTCCATGGTCAGCTTCCAATTCCAGCTACCTGTTAGTGCACACCCTGGTGGGTAGCAGGTGATGGCTCAAGTACTTGAGTCCCCACCACCCAGGTGGGAGACCTGAATTGACTGCCGGGCTCCTCTTGTAAGCCTGGCCCAGCCCCCACTGTTGTGGGCATTTGGGAACCAGTGGATGGAAGATCTCTGCATTTGTCTCTCTTTCAAATAATATTTATTGATTTACAGCACATTTTTGGGGAAGGCCACTTCTAGTCACAGTCACTACTTAGCAGGTCAAGTGCTGAACATTTAACCACAGAGAGATGTCTGATTTGGGTACAGGCAAGACCAATCTCTCAGACCTCCTCGTGTTAAGTGACAAGCACACATCACTACAATAACTGGAGTTATACCCAAGTTCAAGCTCCAGGTCCACCCACCTGGGTGACTGAGCAAATGCCTCTGCCTCCCTGGGTGAACGAGCCGAGTACAATAAGTACCCAAGAAATATGAACTAGAGTTACTTTTTCCTGCAACATATTGTCTATTTCAAACAGATTTCCTATCACTACCTGACTTAGCCATGGTGTCAGATGTATCCACCTGCACGTCTGAAGCTGTCAGTCTTTGGGGACAGGCATTGGGTTTCAGGGTCTCAACACTACCCAGCACATAGGACAGGGACGGGCTGGTACCACAGTTCAATTGGCTAATCCTCTGCCTGCGGCGCCGGCACCCCGGGTTCTAGTCCTGGTCAGGGTGCTAGATTCTGTCCCGGTTGCCCCTCTTCCAGGCCAGCTCTCTGCTGTGGCCAGGGAAGGCAGTGGAGGATGGCCCAAGTGCTTGGGCCCTGCACCCCATGGGAGACCAGGAGAAGCACCTGGCTCCTGGCTTCAGATCAGCACGGTGCACTGGCTGCAGCATGCTGGCCGCAGTGGCCATTGGAGGGTGAACCAACGGCAAAAGGAAGACCTTTCTCTCTGTCTCTCTCTCTCACTGTCCACTCTGCCTGTCAAAAAAAAAAAAAAATAGGACAGGGACTTGATGTGGGTCTGGAATTTTGCCATTGAAGAACTGACTGAGGCCTACACCACCCCTTCTGTGTCTCGGAGCCACACCCCCAAATCACAGAGCAAAACAAGATTCAACTCGCCCCACCAGCTCCACGCTAAGGGTGCCTCTCACACCTCCACACTGCCTCTTATCCCACTCATGTACTTAAAACGCCCTAAGAAATTCTCTCACTGGTGGGTAGACGGACGTGCGGGCGGCAGACGGACACTGCAGAGAACGTGTGAGTGAGTGATCGGCTTCATTTCAAGGAAGCCCTGTGTAGTCAGAGTCGCCTTGCAGCTGCGAGTGCATGGGGTTGCGTCACCTTGTCCCGATCGGTCACAAGTGGCAGAAGTTATTAATCCAAGTGTCCTCTCTCCCTTGGCTCAGAGCCGCCGGGAGCAGCCGTGATCGGCTGGGCTTGGTACTGCGCAGCCGTCACCACGGAGGCAGCTCCATCTCCTCACTCACCTGGGCCTCTCTGCTGCCTGACGCCCGTCTCCCCTCCTGTCTCTAGGGGGCCTCTAATTCTACCTCGGACTCTGTGCCACGTGGCCTTCGGGATTCTGCCTGCAGCCAGCGCCTCAGTGTCAAACACTCTTATTTGTTCCATGTATGCAAGGTACAATTTTTAAGTCTGAAAACAAGGCTCATAAAAGAGTCTGAGCCTGGAGGCGGTGCATTGTGGGTAAAGCCACTGCCTGCAGTGCCGGCATCCCATATGGGGTTCGAGTCCCAGCTGCTCCACTTCCAACCCAGGTCTCTGCTATGGCCTGGGAAGGCAGTAGAAGATGGCCCAAGACCTTGGGCCCCCACCCCGACGTGGGAGACCCAGAAGAAGCTCCTGGCTTGGGATAGGCCCAGTCCCGGCCATTGCAGCCATTTGGGGAGTGAACCAGCGGAAAGAAGACCTCTCTCTCTCTCTCGCCTCTGCCTCTGCCTCTCTGTAACTCTGCCTTTCAGATAAAATAAATCAAATATTAACAAAAAAAAAGTCATAGCCCTGTATCAGTATCTTTTGAAGTATCAAAAACTAGTAGGAGGCCTAGTGGGTTCGACCAGGTTTCCATTTACAATGTTGCCTGCCTCTGAAGAGAGGATTCCACTATGAAATGCAATCTTAAGAATGGTGCCTGGGGCCGGCACTGTGGCATAGCAGGTAGAGCCGCCCACTTGCAGCGCCGGAATCCCATGTGGGCGCCGATTCTAGTCCCGGCTTCTCCACTTCCGATCCAGCTCTCTGCTGTGGCCTGGGAAAGCAGTAGAAGATGGCCCAAGTCTTTGGGCCCCTGCACCCACATGGGAGACGGGGAAGAAGCTCCTGGCTCCTGGCTTCAGACTGGCGCAGCTCTGGCTGTTGTGGCCACTTGGGGAGTGAACCAGCGGATGTAAGACCTCTCTCTCTCTCTCTCTCCTTCTCTCTCTATATATAACTCTGACTTTCAAATAAATAAATATTAAAAAAAAAAAAAAAAGAATGGCGCCATCACCTAAGAAACCAATGGAAGATGGCCCAAGTGCTTGGGCCCCTGCCACCCACATGGAAGACCCGGATGAAGCTACTTGCCTCGGCCTGGTCCAGCTCTAGCCATTGCGGCCATCTGGGAGGTGAACCAACAGATGGAAGATCAAGTGCTCACTTGCTCTCTCTCCCTCTCCCCCTGGCAACTCTGACTTTCAAATAAATAAAAAGAACGGAGCCATGGAAGCCAGCGTCCAACTCTGCACCTGAACCCAGCCCCCCGCGGAGTCATGCCCATACCTGCGCTGAGCGGGGACATGAGGCTTCCCCAAACGCCTGCTCTCTCCACCTTACAGAAAATTCCTGCAAACTCACTGGCCGGCGCCTGCCAGAGACTAAAGGACGCTCGCATTCGGATGGAGCTCAGGCTGCTGGAGCAGGAAGGGTTTTATAAGCAGCCGAGTCTCAGACAAACGCAGCACAACCCCACTGTGTACGTGTTTGCTTTCACCTGCCTGAAATACACAGGGACAGGGTGGAGGAGGAGACGGTGACGCACGGATGAAGGGCGACGGCGCAGGTGTCCAGCGCCTCCCCTGGCAGAACAGGGGGCGGAGGACCTGCTCCTGCCTCTGCACAGCCCCTTCCTGTCACCAAAATGAACGTAGGAAACAGCGAGCCAGGCTGGCATGGGCATTCATGAAATGACAGGCACAGCGCATCACTCAGCGACACCCTGACTGTGGCGGCCAGCACGGCCCCAGCGACCGCGAGCTCCGTCTCCCCAGACAGGGCTCGCCAGGAGGCAGCCCATTGCAGAGCGGCTCCCCGATCGCAACGGCGGCCACTCCTTTCCTGAGATCCTGCTTTGTGCTCAGAGTTGGCAGGTTTCTCCTAACCCCTGAAAGTAACACCACCAGGCAGGGACTTACCGCTACCCTGGAAGTGAACCAAAGCCAGAGAGAGGCTTGGTAAAAATGAGTGACGATCAGTGAGGCCTGCCTGGGCCTGGCATCAAAAAACGGTGCTTAATGAGAGAGTCCGGATTGATTAGCAATGTCTGCACGGGTACAGTGCAAGACTGACGGCAGCAGCGGCAGTCCTGAGACAGCTGGCAGCCCGCCTGCTGCTGCCTACACGCGTCTGCTCAACTTGCCCAGGTTTTAAGCTCCGGGGAGACTGTGGCTCGCGGGCTGCAGACTGTCTAGGGCCTCCAAATCCCAGGCACAGCACTGACGTGACAACAAACACCAAGAAGGCAGTCACTTAGGAAGGCTTGACGCACGCACCCCGGGACGTCAGCTCCCTGGCAGCCAAAAGCTTGACCTGTTGAGCTCACCACGAGCTCCCCAGTATCTATCACAGAAGCTGCACACAGTGGGTGCCTCCTGCATGCTTGCTGAGTGACTGAAAGGATGTGAGGGGTCATATGAGCAAGTGCATCCATCGACTGAGTCAGGAACACTCGCGATACCATCTTACAGGCGAGCAAAGTGCAGCTGGGAGCAGTCAACTGCCCTCTCAGGCTACAGGTGGCAAAGCCGGGCTTACATCCAGAGTATCTGACGAAATTCCATGCTGAGCACCAGAAAACGGTCTCCTAAGACTAACCACGGGGGGGCCGGAACTGTGATGTAGTAGGCTAAGCCTCTGCCTGCAGCACCGGCATCCCATAGGGGTGCAGGTTCCAGTCCCAGCTGCTCCACTTCTGATCCAGCTCTCTGCTGTGGCCTGGGAAAGCAGCAGAAGATGGCCAAAGTGCCTGGGCCCCTGCACCCATGTGGGAGACCTGGAAGAAGCTCCTGGCTCCTGGCTTGGTTCAGCCCAGCTCTGGCCATTGCAGCCATCTGGGGAGTAAACCAGTGGATGGAAGACCTTTCTCTCTCTCTCTGTAACTCTGCCTCTCAAATAAATAAATAAATTAATTAATTAATTAAAAAAAAAACAGGCACACACTTGTGGCTTCCCAGGCCCCACTCACCTGCAGATGGGGATGGCAGGCACCAGCTGCTTGGGCCAGGTGGGCGGCACCAGCAAGATGGACTCGGGCGCCGAGTTCCTCCTCTCCTCCTGCTCGCAGGGCCCCAGGAACTCCATGGCCGGGTAGATGTGGCGGGGCAGGCCGGCCTTGGCCTGGGCGGTGGACACGGGCGACGGGTCAGGGCTGGTCTTCCACATCTTCGGGGGAACCCCGCAAGGCGCGTCCCCGGCGAGGCTGCTCAGGGCATCCATGAGGACGGCAGAGCCGGCCGTGGGGGGGTAGCCCGCGGGGGCGCCGTCGTCCCGGGGCTGCGGCGAGGGGCTCCGGGAGCGCTGGGGCGAGGCTCCGGGCAGCGGGGCAGCCGCGGCCTCGGCGCACGAATGCCTCCTCTTGGCACCAGGCGATGAGGAGCGGGAGGCCGGACGGGGTGCGGGCGAGTGGCGGCCCAGGCAGCTGTCCTCGGCGAGGCTGGCTCGAGGTGACATTATTGGCGACGTTCTGGGGGAATAATGGGTAGGGATGTTTTGAAAGTGGGGACACAGGTCGTCCGGCCCGCCGCCGTTATTGGGCGAGACGCAGGGCGAGGTGTAGGGGGAGAAGGTGTCGGAAATGAAGCTGGCGGATGAGCCGCTGCTCGCAGGGCTCAAGCAAAGCGGCTCGCGGTAGCCCTCGAAGCCAGGCACGGGCAAGGTGAACCTCGGGCCGGCGGCCGCCCCCACCAGCGGCTGCTCTGGCAGAAGGCCGGCGGCGTCTCTCGCGCGGAGGGAACCCCCTGCCTGCATCAGTTCGTGGGATGGAGTGATCTCGATCCGAGGGCTCGGGCCCGAGGCCCTCGCTGGCTGGGCTGGGCTCAGAAAGTTCTGGGGCCCTACCCTATCCGGCTCTGCGAACCGGCCAGGGGGCTCGCCAGAGAGACTGGCGAGGGGGCTGTACGGCTTGAGGCCGCAGTCCAAGACATCAACGGGGTATTCGAGTCCGGAGGGTGGGCTGCCGGCCTTATGTGCACTCGGTTCTTCTGGAAAGAGAAGGGGGAGGGGTCTCTTTAAGCCTCTCAAACAGCACTCCCGAGGCAGAGCCGTCACAGGTCGGCTTTCGTCCTCTGTCTCTGTCCTTCCGTCCCCACCGCGCCGACCCCCGAGCTACAAGCGTCCACCCCTCACCACGAGGAAAGCACGGGTGCCTTGGCGGCCCCCGAGGTCTCCCGACGACAGAGACCAAGGAGAACTGATGCCCACCTGGACCACGCCCCGCAGGCCGGGCTCCGAGGACGAGTTGGGCTAGGACCTCCCCACTCTGGCTCAAACGCAACTCTGAGAAGACGCGTGGCTGACCTCACAGTGCAGACGGCACTCCCACACTCCCGCGCCTGGAACACTACTCACTCCCCCCCCCAACGCGACGCAGGACACACTGACAGCCCTGCTGCCCGGGCTGCCCGGTGCCAACGCTGGTCACGACCCGCGAATCAGTCTCCTAGCCCACCAGTGGGTCGTGACCCCGAAACACACTCATCTCCTATTCTACAAGTACAAGACGGCCGCGGGACCCCGAGGGACGCTGCACTGGCCGCGGTGTCCTGTGTGGCACTGGACGTGAACTACAGAGGCTCACGCCCGAGCACGAGCGACCCCACCCTCGCCCCAACCTGCGCCCCAGCTGTGCCATTTCACAGATGAGGGGACCGAGGCCCCAGGCAGGAAAGAGATTCACCCACAGACACAGAATGAGCATGTTTGGAAGTCCTGCCTGGGGGTCACTCGGCCCCCAGAAAGCAGGGCCAGGTGACAGAGGCCCCCAGACCAGCAAAGCAGTGGTGTCGCTTTGTCGTCTCAGTGGGCGTCCACCTCGGGCTTGTGCTGCCAGCTCAGCAGGACCGAGCACTGGAGGACGCTGCTCATGTGCACTGCTCCACGCCACCCGCCTAAGGACATGGCCACCAGCCCCCGCACAGAGCCCACCCCCCACGCCCAGCCCTGCCTCGGTGGACGGCCGTCCTGCGAAGCCTGCACGCGTTCGGGTGCACGGGGCTGCGGGGGACCGAGTGTCCGCTCCCGGCACTCGTCACCTGACTGTGTCTCCACAGCCCCCTCTGCGGTGACCCTGCTCTCTCCATCAGCCGCAGGGCTCAGCCGGGCTCTCGTCCCACCCAGCTGCACTTCCTCGCTGCTCTGTCACCAAACCGAAACATGTCTGCCCCTGTCCGATGAGTCCACCCCGCTCTGAGCCACCTGGAGTGTCACTGTCACCATCACCATCACCCTGGGTCCATCCATTTCCACACTTGCCCCCTGCGTCACGGTCCCCAAGCAGCCACCTCTGAAAATGTCCACTTTCAAAATCCACCACAGAAACTTCCTCTTCATATAGGACGTAGGAGTCGGCAAGACCTCCGTCCCGAGACCCCCACCTGTCCCCAGAGGCCACGCCGCACCTCTGCTACCCTGCCTGCTCCCCCAGCCCCAGTGTCCTGGAGTGCGCCCTGCCCTCCGCCTGGAATCTTCCTCCCAGGCTCCAGGCTCTTCCTGCGCCTACTTCCTGCCAGCTGCCATGCACCTGCTCGGCCAGCCGTCACCACGCTCGTCCCCACCCCTCCTGTCCTCCCTACACTCACCCCTGCTGAATCTCAGCCTGCTACGCCAGACGAGGCAAACCACAGCCCAGGAGCCCCCAGTCCACCCTGCGGACCGCGTTTGTCAGTAAGTTTTGTTGGCACACAGCCACACCTGTTTGTTCCCCCAGGCTCTGTGGCCGCAGCTGCACCCCTGCAGCAGAGCCGTAGCTGCGACAGGAGAGGCAAACGCTCGCTCCCCGGCCCTTTATGCAAGTCAGTGACTGCACTCCCGGGCTCGGATCACGGCTCTCGCGGTTCAGCATTGTCTGCCAAGTACCTGCCACAGTGCCTGGCACTCACAGGCACTCCATCAGCAGAGGCCGAGCGAATGAGCAAGTCAAAGTCATGACTGAGGGCCTGGCGGGCCAGACCCACAGCCGCTTCCTGAGGCCTCGCAACCCGTTCCTGTCTCGGGGGGGCCTGGGACCACTCGGGCAGGCTTCCACCTCCTCGTGTCCTCTCTGTCCAGCTCAGCTGACCAGGTGGGAGCCACACAGTGCCCCGCTTCAGGAGAAAACCCCAAAACTGGCTTCCCACAGCTCACCCAGTGAAGATAAAGGACCTCCTCCATTGGCTCAGCCCTGCCGGGTCCTGCTTGCTTGTCCAGCCTTGCCTCTCTCTACTCTCTCACCTCTCCCTCTTCTGGACTCTAAACTTTTGGAAAGCATCAGGTTCCTTCCTGCCTCGGGGCCTTTGCACCTCCTGTGGCCTCTGCCTCAACGGCTCTGCCCCCACTCACACTGAGACCTGAGCCTAAAAGTGGATGAGCAGAATCTCCAGGGAGGGTGACCGGGCACCGTCCGTCTACATCTCAAACACACGCGCCCTGGGAGCCAGCTCGGCCACGCCCAGACACCGCTCCTGCCGCTCACCGTGCAGAAGGGAGCACCCGAGACTGATCCCTGCAGCCCTCCGTGAGCCCCCAAGACTGCAAACAACCTCGAGTCCACCTACAGCGACTGGCAAGCTGCTGCTGCTGTGTTCACACGGCCACAAAAAGGCTTGGAAAGCGCCCGCTGCGCGGAGACCAGCAATGCTGAGGTTTGGTTTTAAAGGAGAAAGCGAGACGCACACAGCACGCAGTGTACAACCAGGCGAGAGGGCTCTGTGCACACGGCACGCGGCTGTCATGGTCTCTGCCAGGTCCCGGTCCCGGTGACTACCCCTCCAGGGAGGGGACCGCGCACGGCAGACAGGAGCCTGCCTGACTTCTGGACTATGCAGCGAAACATAATTCCCCAAAGACGCTATTCCACTTTGTAAGTGGTGGTGGGAGTGACGTAACCTGATAATGTGGTAATGAAACTCTGGTTTACGAAGCAGGAAATTGAGACCCTGGTCCTCCTCCACCACTAACCAGCCGTGTGGCTTTGGAAAAGTCCCCACCCACCCCAGTCCTCGGCAGGGACTGGATCAGACCCCTGGCTTGCTCCTGCCTCTGAAAATCTCTTGAGGTTAGTCGCTGGGGCCTGGAGATCTTGTGAAGTTGACAATGTCAACTCGGACTTGAACTTGTGCCCACGCGCGCACGCACACACACACACACACACACACACGCAGCCACACTCCTTCCCAGTGGGTCACAGAGAATCAACTTTTAATCTAGGAAGAGATCCACAGCAAATCCACGCCTGACAGCATTCTGAGTGTCCACTGCCCCGTGACCCAGCAGAACCAGGCACCCAAAGTCTCTTGGCAAAAACCCCAGCCTTATCAGAAACGCCGCATTGCGTGTTATGGGGAGCAGGCCCCGGGGCCGACGGGCACGGCCGGGGAATGCAGCCACACAGGCACCCGCTGCCCAGCAGGCCTGAGAACAGAAAGCCTGGCTTTGCCGAGCTTAAAAGGATTTAAGGCATTTACGCTGCTTCCCATCAAGCCCGCAGCGTCTCTCTCTTTCCCTAAGACCTTGCTGTGCGGCAAGCAGAGGAGCTGGAAGCAATGAATCACTGTCATTTCACTCAGTCCCGGGCACCGGGCAGCAGACTCCCCGAACAGCATGCCGGTAAAACGCTCCCTCAGTAGGTGGGATTCCCTGTCTCCGCCACCTCGCAGAGAGCCGGCTCTGTCGCAGTTGCCGCCGCGTCCACGCAGCGCTGGGTGAAGCCACTTTCAGCTGAGAACCCCACAACTGTCTCAGGAGGGCTTCCAGAAAGTTCCCTTCCTGACCACCTGCACGGTCCTTGTGCTGGCCCTGCACCAACAGTCAATATTATTTACTTAATATTTCTATTGACATTCACTCACATGAATCTCTTTTTTATTTTGCAAGGAAACTTGACACCACTACCACAAATGGAAAATCAGTGTCACCTCTCTAAATAGAAGGTAGGGTAGAAATAGAAGAAAAAATAAAAGGTGCTAAATTCAAGTGAGCCACAGCGGCTGGCCCTGGCACGGAGCCGGGGCTCACTGCCCCCGCCCTGGGGGCCTTCGGTATTGAGGCATCACTCACTGTACAGACGCGGGATCTGAGGACTCCCACCTCGTGTTAAACATGCTTGCTACCCCCGCCACACTCAAGACAGACAGCTCTACCATGGCCACACGGGGTCTGCTGCGTCAGAGCCAGGAGGTGGGAGACGGAAGAGCAAATGTTAGAAAGGAGTGGGGGCTGGAGCTGTGGCATAGCAGGTGAAGCTGCCACCTGCGATGCTGGAATCCCATATGAGTGCTGTTTGAGCCCTGGCTGCTCCACTTCTGATCCAGCTCCCTGCTGATGCACCTGGGAAGGCAATGGAAGATGGCCCAAGTGCTTTAGCCCCTGCACCTACGTAGGAGATCCAGTTGGAATTCGGGGCTCCTGGCTAGAACCCTAACCCTAGCCCTAGCACCAAATGAGACCCACAGTGCTATGCTTGTCAGCCTTGCCCAGCACGCACGGCCAGTGTGCGGCAGAAGCCCAGAGACCACTGCCAGCACCACCCACAACTGCAACAAACCTGGAACAATAGAGAGACGGCCCCAGCAGGTAACCAGGCCCTCCCCACGCAGCCTCCAGGGTGTCACTGCCACCACCCTCCTTTCATCAGGATCTGGGGGGCAGTGCCTATCTAGGTCCCCTGAGTGTTGAAGGAGCTCTCTGGCCACGCTCAGAGAGCGCAGGAAAACACTGCGGGGGAGGCTGGCCCAGGCCCCCTATGCAGAGGGCTCCGTCAGCGGAGGGAGGCGAGCCCGGTACAGCAGACCCCACCCCCGGCCATAGGACCTGGGGAAACTCCACAGCCTGGTGTCGTGTGGGGGCGGGGCGGATGCTGTCGGTGATGACACCGACCCGAGGATTCATTCAACCCACAAAAAGCCCACAGCACACAGCAGTCTCACTTCCCGGGGCCTCCTGGGTCACTGCTGGCACTATTACTGACAGAATGATCTTTAAGTGAAAATGCTGCCTTTTGCCCACT